AATCTTCATGTTGCTGATTGTTTGAATCATCGAATTCAAAAATTTGAAATAATTTTGTAAATGAAATTTTGATTTCGAAGAAAAGAAAAAGTTTTTTATTGAATAAAAGAACCAAGAAAAGTCTTTTGGGATTTTTTTCTCGGAAATTGAATTTAATTTCATAATTTTGATTCAAAAGTTCCAAGAAATAAACGTTAAATTCTTCTTCATTTGTTAATTTTTGTTGAATTTTACAGAAGAAAAGAATATATTTTACAATTTGAATAAAATTAAAGAAAAATTGTTCGAAAGAAGATTTTGTTTTTGATAGAACTCTATTTGAATACTTTTATATAATGGAAATAATCAGATGTTTTTATTTTTCCGATTTGATAAAATTTCGGAATTGTTCGGAAAGTGAAGAAAAACTGATACTAAATTCGAATTGAAATGAATTTTGTTGAGCTAAACACGTGTTGAAAAGAATCTTCTTTAATATTAAATTAACAAATTTTATTTTTTCTTCTTTGTTGATTTAAAATTTAAAGAAAAACAAAAATGATAGGTGGATGTGGGTTTATTAGAAGAATCACCCACACCCAAATTCTAGTACAAAAAGTAGCTAAGTATCTTGAAAAATAATTAAGTAATATAGCGATAGTTCACAACTAATTGAATTTATTCTTATTAAAAGCACTGTTCTTAATGAAAACAAAAAGAAAAAATATTTATCGAAGATTAGAAGTAGGTTTTGGTTTTTCTCTTATAATCGTATCCTTACCGTTGTTTGAACAGTATTCTATCAATCATTCTTAAGTTATCTTTTAGAAGAATGATATGTTGATCTAATAGACTTATATAAAATACCCATTACCCTTTTAGTGATCATCAATAAATATGATAACTTCTATCGGATTAAGAGAAAAGCAATCAATTATTTCAACGTATTTTCAGTCAATATGTTTCTAAATTGATCATTTACGCTGTAGTACAAAGAATACACTTATTCGATCGACTTTAAAAGTGAAGAACATTATCATATCAGTCTCATGCTCTCAGCACTCCAACTTGTGTTGATTCATCGTTTTCTTTTGGTGATATTCGCTACCACTAATACCGAATAGATCTTTGGCATGTTTCATTGCAAATCCTTGATAATCATTTTCTTCATTTGTGTACAATCTCAGCAACAATGGCAAATAAATCTTCATATTTTCGTTCGTGGTGATTGCTTGAACAAAGTCTTTTTTGGTCAAACATTTACTCATTCGATAAAATTCTTCAACCAGTCTGAGCATTTCATTATATTTTGGCCTTATATTTTGTTCCATTTCGTCAATTCTTGTCAATGTTTTTGTATCATCTTTAAATAATTTTCGTAGATCATCTATTTGTCCATTAATAATAGCTTCAAATAATGATCTCGGAGAATCTTCTGTTCCACCATCACCATAAATCATAAAGTATTTTTGTGTTTTAATTTTGACAAGATACGATGAACGATCCAGTTGAATGATTTCAACAACATAGCCTTCACCATGCGTTTGTTGATAAGTCTCTTGGAGTAGTTGTTTGTGTGTGACATCGGATGAGATAGATTCGAATGAAACAAGATGATTGAGAATTGTGAGAAAATGATTATCGAGAAGAAATCTTTTCAATCGAGTACCAAACAAAGTGTGCCCATCCGCATGAGATCGAATAGATAGAATAGTGAGTTGTGCTTGTGAATAGGAAACGAATAGGTGACTGGAAGGCGTTGTATATTCCATGTTAACAGTATAATTGAGACGAACTAGTTGTTCGAGTTCAGATTGGAAGTCATCTTAACAAAAATTACATAAGATGTTTAACAGTGATTATATTTATCCTATTATTGTGAAGTAGAAGAATATATCATACAGCTGGTGACTCAATCTTTTATCTCCTACTTTCTTTTTCCTATCTATAATTTTGAAAAGTTTATAATTCGAGTATCATTTGGATATCTCAACCAAATCGTAATATGAGAACATATCATCTTAACTCTTTTCTACTCTACAGGTCTTCTACTTGTAGTCAAAATATAGGAACAAAAGTCTTGTTAACCGCCATTGTTGATGCCTCCCTGGAATATTGAGACTTATTCACGTATCGAAAGACTTTTTTCTAGAAGCAAGCTAAATTTCGATTCTTTACCTATCACTCAAAAGCTACAAACTTAATGGAATTATAGTAGAATATACGGCACAATCGAGCTAATTAGTTATTGAAATATCTACTGCATCTGGTAGTTTTAATTTAACCGAAGTAAAAATACTGTAAGGTAGGCCTCCAGACGTTTCGTCGTAGTCAGTTCAAAATGTGCAAAACAAAAAGTAACGATAAAATGGGTAAATGTCGGGGACGGGTGTATTAAGTTGCATACCTACGAGTAACCGCATTGCTTCCAAAACTTGATTTGATGTGAGCGATTGTTTGGATTTAAGTCGAAGTACTTGTTTTTGCGATGTTCTACCATGTAAAAATGTTGATACTAATGATCCATCCATTTTTTCCATTTTGTCTCCTAATTGACCACATTGATGAAATTGTTGTTGACCAAAACCTTCTTCATAATCGAAAATTTTCTCTAATGGTAATGAAACAAGTTGGACATGTTTCAAATTCGTAATGTTAAACATTGTTCCACAACAATTCAAAGCTGCTGGATGAGTCATGAATCTTCCATACGAACAAAGACGACAGTTGAATATACGATAATTTATTGCATGTAAACGAATATCTTTGTAATAGAAAATATCATCCTGCGAACAAAGATTCATTAAATCAGCATAGAGTGTATCCATATTTATTTTTTTTGATGATGTAGCCATGATAAGAGTAAAAAATGAGATAGATGCAATTCTATCATTTATATATTCCTTTTCATATTGTAATTGCATAATATGTTGTAATTGCGAAATTTCTCCGTAGAAATTGAAAGAAAAATAGATAGTTAGTCATTTATGCAACGATAATAAAGGAAGTGATTTTAACGTTAGGAATGTTAAAACTATTGTATTCCAATCAAAATAAATTCGATGAATGATTCTCCTTTCACTTGAGCTCTTTGATTATATGAAAGTTCAACACTCATTTTTTTCGAAAAAATAAAACTCGCAGGTATGAATGCTTGATAAAGAGAAAATTTCCGCCATCACTATGAGTTATATGCACCCTCAGTTATGGCTTTTTCCTTTGATATGAGTCCGGGTGTGAGTACCGTTTTTCTTTTTTTTGCTTAAAACTGTAATGTATAATCCTGAAGAGCATTTAAAAATTAAATAAATAACATGAAACGCATCGGCGTAATTAGCTCTGCATTAATTTGATTGATATTTCGAAATATTTTTGAGATACGTTCGACCTCCTTGGTTGCTGGAAAGCAAGATTTAGGGGAATAGCAGATTGAACTTGTTTCTTCGTCAAGAGATATGGTCAGTCTGTCTACATATGATTGATTGCTTTCTATACTCTTTCTATTGTTCTTTCATTCTTTGAGAACTATACTATTTCTTTATTGTTGTAGATAAAATACTATTCGATTTACTTTCCTTGAACAATACTATTTTATTAATGAATCAAATATCACTTTATTTGATGTAAATCGTATTGTCAAACGTATTTTTCGTGATTAGATTTTTATTTTAGATCAGCACCAACAACAGTCTGTTAGATTTATATAGAATTATATGCCATCTAAAAATGACTCTTTAGCAAGGTCGAAGCTAGTCGTAGTAGCTATATATCTGTGTACGCCCTAAAATTTCACGATGACTTGTATTAATCTAAAAATTCTTAACACAAATGAATGTCATCATATATAATTGTGTTATAAATCAATTTTCATGCTCGTTGTGATATGGGATTTCTTTTTATATTTTTATATACATGTTCATATACTAATCAAGGTGTATGAATTAGTGCAAGATAGTATAATTTGAGAATAACATCAATTGAAGTAATTAGTGGAAGGAAACCAAAACTAGATTTTAACATAATAAGAATCATATTAATGAATCAATATATTAATACAGAGAGCACTGGTACCCATATTTCTCCAGTTTCTTATTATTTGTCGCTATATAGTACAATTAGAATATGTTGAAATCGACTCTGCGTCATGTAATAAGTCTGATACGTATATTCAGTTTACCTTGGATAAGAATAGATTTCGATGAATTCTTGTTGAGTTTTGTTTTTTTTCCTCATTTCATGATCAGTATAATATTATATGTTAAAAGATAAATTTTCAAATTGTCTTATTGCAATCAATCGTGGGTATTTTTTAAAGGTCTTCTTCTTCTTTGCTATAAGTAAAATGTAATTGATATCTTGTAGTAAAGTGAGAAACAATCCAAAGATACCAATCTCGGAGGTAAAAGAAAAAGAAAAAAGAAGAACTGTATATAAGACGATGATTACCATTTAATCTTTCATATTTTTTTTCAAACAAAGCCAACATACTAAAACACAATCAAACGTATGGAATAATTTCATAAGAGTCAGAGGAGAAGTTTTAAAATACTGCAGACTCGTAAAAAAATGATCTGAACCACCTTGAGGGTGTGAGTGGGTGAGATCACGCGTATTCGTAACAGCCACATCCACACTCAGTTTTAGAAGGAAAAATACTTTCCAATTAAAAATTCAATTATCTGATACTTATTTCATATTTGTGACTTAGGTCGAACGAATTCCTTCGTCAGATGCATGTGATTTCTATGATGATAAATGGGTCCTATAATTATAACTTCGGAATGTTTTCTTCTCACAAATTCAGATGAGAGCAACTACATCACAGGATTTCTATAATATAATTATCGATTTTTAAGGAGAATAAAATAACAATTTTTTCATTAGTAGTGTACTTCTAATATTTATTCTTAATTGATTTCAGCTTTTCAGAATCACTATCAACATCACCAGGATAAAAAATAACAACTACAATATCACCACAGCCAACGCGTGGGAAGTTACCTAAACCTAATTATCAAAACATGGAATATAAAAAACTTCTTATTGCCAAAAACGAAGAAGATACGGAGTTGGCGGCAAAAGGAACAAGTGTATATGATGCATCACCAGAATGCAAGGTAAGTGGTGTTGTGTTTAGAGATGTTGGCTTAGTATTAACACTATATTAACCCACGTTGAAATGCTAACTTAATACTAATGCTAAGTGAACACCTCTAGCTCTATTTTATCTGAGTTTTGGCAGGAAAAGTAGATTTCTTATGTGCATAAAGTTGTTAGAAAGAGTTATGAAATGCAATAACTATTTAGAAAGATCAAGGAAACAGTTAATTCTATCTCTAATAAATGTTGTTCTTGTAAAATCCGTTTTGTGACACACGATCTGAAAGAGAGTATTGAAGTTCTGACGGTAGAAAGAAGTGGGCCCTTTGTGCACCAAATCATCTTGAGCGTGTGGGTGTGGGCGCATGATGAATCTCGTACCCTTACTCACACCCACACTCACATCCTATTTATGAAGAAATATTCATTCTCGAAATACAATATTTCAGAAAGAGATTTAATTTTCTTCATTATTATTTGAGAAAAGATTAACAAATTGAACAAATTCAATAGTTAATTACGAGAACAATCAACACTTTTCAAAGAATTTTAACTGAATATTTTTTTTCAATATTTAGTCTCAATCAGAGAATAAAAATCATATTAAACAATCTGCTCGTCAAGAAGCAGGATCGTAAGTATTTGATTCATTTATTCGAAATATATCTATTATTTTAGATCTTTATTTCATCGGAAAGCAATATTGATTTTAATTATCATTGTCGTTCTTAGCCTAATAACTATCATTAGTATTACAATATGGGTTATTTTTATTAAAAAGGCCGAAACAACAATTAATCCAACCACAACTACAACTACAATTGGTGTATCAACAACAAAAATAGCTATGCCTACAACGTCGACAATGGAAACAACAATGCTTACATCATTGATTGATTCTCATACAACAACAATGAATGGTAAAGTTTTGTTATAAAAGAAAAAAAATAAGAATTGACATATTTCTTGGGTCCAAAAAAAAACTAGCCTCCACACGTAAATTCCAAATTTGTAGCTCACTTACGTATCCATATTTTACCTAATGATAGTTGAAATTATATAGCTGTCCAAAACAAATTAATAATTAAATACAAAACAAATCTGTTACGGAATAGGAAGTTACACTTCCAAAACAGAACAAAAGTACTCCGTACCTGATAGTATCATTTCCATAACAGAACAATTGTATTCTATTTTTGCGAGTTTCGGGGTGTGGTTCTATTAGAAGAATCACATTCATCCAGTCTCAAGATTTTTATTTTCCAAATAAAACATCAAATAATTTATGTTTTTTTGCAACGAATTCTTTTCAACACTAAACAAAAAAAATCAAATCAAATCAAATTTGATTTTTTTTTAAACATTTTCACCAACATTCCATTCAAAATTCAACTTTAACAAAAACAAAATCGAAGTTTCATTCAAAAATTAATTTTTTCTTTTTTCTTCGATCAAAAATAAATTTTCTTCTTCTTCTTTTCATCAAAAGCTTTTCTTTACATCATTTTCTAGAACCAAAACTCAACAGATGGAAACAAAATGCCATCACTGTGGCTGGTGGAAATGGACAAGGGCAAGAATTAAATCAACTTAATTGGCCGGAAGGAATCTTTATTGATAAAAACAAAAACATTTTCATTGCTGATTATTTTAATCATCGTATTGTGGAATGGAAATGTAATGCAAAACAAGGACAAATCATTGCAGGTGGAAATTATGAAGGAAATCAAATGGATCAATTGAATAGTCCAAGAGATGTGATAATTGATGAACAAAATCATTCAATCATCGTTGCTGATCAAGGGAACAGCCGAGTGATTCAATGGTTGAATCAAACTCAGCAAATTCTCATTCACAATATTAACTGTTATGGCTTGGCAATGGATAAATATGGGTTTCTTTATGTTTCTGATTGGAACAGGGATGAAGTAAGACGATGGAAAATGGGAGAATACAATGAAGGAATTGTAGTGGCAGGTGGAAATGGAAAAGGAAACAAACTTAATCAACTCAATTTTCCTACTTTTATCTTTGTTGATGAAGATCAATCTGTTTATGTATCAGATAGAGAGAATCATCGTGTGATGAAGTGGAAAAAAGATGCAAAAGAAGGAACAATTGTGGCTGGAGGAAATGGTCGGGGAGCATATCTCAATCAATTGTCTGAACCTGCAGGAGTCGCTGTTGATGATTTAGGTCACATCTATGTGGCGGATTGTAATAATCATCGAATAATGCGTTGGTGTGAAGCAAAAGAAGAAGGTGAAATTGTTATTGGTGAAAATGTTGAAGGAACTAAATCAAATCAATTGGATCGTCCCCGTGATTTATCTTTCGACGATGAAGGGAATCTTTATGTTGCTGATGATTGGAATCAACGAATTGAAAAATTTGAAAGAATTTTATGAATGAAATATTGATTTTGATAAAAAGAAAAAAAGTTTCTTATTGAATAAAAGAACGACGAAAGGTCTTTGAGTTTTTTTCTTGAAAACTGAGTTTAATTTCATAGTTTTGGTTCAAAAATTCCAACAAATAAACGTTAAATTCTTCTTCTTTTGTTGAATTTTGCGGAAGATAAGAAAAGAAAATATTTTGTACTTTGAATTAAATTAAATAGAAAGTATTCAAAAAGAAGATTTTGTGTTTGATAACACTCTATTTGAATATTTTGATTTGATAAAATTTGAAAATTGTTGAAAATGAAGAGAAAACGGATCTTCTATGGAAAGTTGATGAAAACCGAATTCAAAATAAATTTTTTGTTGAACAGAATAAATAATAAAAAGATTTTTATATAGATGAAAAGGATTTGTTGTATTTTTCACAGAAACGTAAATAACGATTTAATAATAATTGTTCTACCATATCTAATTAAATTGCTTCATATAAAGAAATACAACATTTTTGTCGTTTTGTTCTTCGAATAAGAAGCTCTTTTCAAAATGTTTTTTGTTTTTTCAAATTGAACTTTCTTCTTTTTCATTAAAAAAACCAAATGATTGATTAGTTTTAAATCAATGAAGTTTTTTTTGCGAAAATATTTTCGTACTATTCTTGGTTTTTCTTGTTGAAATTTGATGAAAATAAAAAGCATTTAAAAGTATTTTTCTTACTTAGTCCATATTAACACTTCAAAGTAGAATTTCGTAGAAAAAACGTCTCATTAAAATAAGTAAAGAAATGATCGAATAAATAATTTGAAATATTCCTATGAAGAGATTTGAATAAAATTATTTTCAATGATTATTTATTAATATAAATTTATCGCAAAATAATTTATTTTTTATTTTTATTAAAAGTCATTTATTGATATGTAAATTTACTAATAAGTCATGAATAGATAAAAATATTATTTCTTATTTTATAGGATTGTAAACATTGGCAATAATTTGAATAAAACACATAAAAGATAAATTTGTATTAATTGATGATTTCATTTTATTGTTTACAAGTAAAAGATTATTAAATTAGTTAATTAGACGATTTTTATTATTCAAGATTTAATCAATTAGATTAGATTTTATTGAATTATTTCAAATCTTATTTGATAAAAATGAGGATGTGTTGATGTGAGCTGTAGGTATGGACCATCGTAAGAGATAAACACCTGACCGTCACCCACACCCACACTCTACTACGAAAATTCATACAAAGCTTTTGAGCTCATATTCAAGAAGAGTAGAAAATACCAGTGGTTATCCAATTCGTTATAACAATTTTGATAAATTAATCGAAAACAAAATCATAGAATGATTAACATAAAAATATGACAAAAACATTGATAAATGTGAAAAATAAATAAATTATGAATTCATTTGCAACTCATTATTCTTTTAACATTGTCAATAATTTTCCTAGAAATACTAATAAAGATTAAAATATAACTGATATAGCTCTTTTCTTAATATTAGTTTAATTGATAATATTTCACGGGTTGACTTTTTGTTATTCCTTAATAATCAAAACAAACTACATTCTATAACGAATTGAATTTATATCTACTGTTGCTCTTACTATTCTTTTTCATTTATGTATTTTCCTATAATTTAAATTTCAGTAGAATAAAATCGAGACGAAATAGAAATACCGTTGATGTTATTATAAATACTAAATAATGATCTAGATAAAAACCCATGTTTATACGAATTGTTGTTTTGCCAGACATTTATTTTTACGAAAACAAAAAAGCTTTTGTTTTGCTTCGTTTCTTTCGACGAGAAATATTGCGACATTCAATAAATAATCCAAACAATAGTGAAGATCAGAACGATAACATTTTACCTGTAATTTTCTATTCAAGAAAAAAGAAAAACTAATGTGTTTTGTCTATTCAAAGCTATGATAAATTTATAAAACATATATTTGTTTTTGAAGACATACATTAGTAGAATTAAAATGCAAAAAAACATTTATTCTATACAAAATCTTTTAACAATTCATAAGAAAAAATCATTAAAAAACATGTAGATTTTCTTTTTTTTTATTGTATAATAGATATAAATCTTAATTGATTGAGACTTTAGTCAAATCATTAATAAACATATGTCGACTAAATGTTGTATATAGATGTCTATACCAAAGTACTTGTGAACGATGAGCATGAAATGCTTTTAAACCTTGAAAATATCCGAAGGGTGAACTAACAAATAAAATACGTTGATCATTTGGTGATGAAAATAAAAATGGTAATATTGTTGAAAATAAACTTCGTAATAAACGAGGAATAAATTTAATTAATGTTCGAAATATATCTAATATTGAAGAAAATTCAAATAATGATGTAACAGTTGAAATTCTATAGATTAATGGTGTTTTTAAATTTTTTTCAATATAATATTCAATTCCAAGAGCAACAGATTTATGATTAATATGACCAGATATACCACCACGATCAAATGTTATTAATAAATCAATATGAAATTTTTT